ATGGATGGATGGATGGATGGATGGATGGATGGATGGATATGGGATGGATGGATGGATGGATGGATGGATGGATGGATATGGGATGGATGGATGGATGGAAGGATGGATGGATGGATGGATGGATGGATGGATGGATGGATGGATGGATGGATGGATGGATGGATGGATGGATGGATCTGGTGCTTTCTAAAGGAAGGGATTATTTTGCTGTATCTAATGATATTATGTCCCAGCATTTATGCACTCTAATAGGAAAATAGAGCCTTGATGGTTTTAGATCATAGGGTCTGAAGTTTTATTTTAAATGTAAATTTCTTTATTCCTTCTCCGCATTTTGGCCCAACCCCCTGGGGAGCAGAGGGCTGCCACTGTGGGGTTGAGGGTTTTTCTCAGGGACCCAGAGTGCAGGCTGTGGGGATCAAACCGGGTACTTGCGATGTCTTCAGAGCACAAGCGCACCGCTCTAACCCACTGGCGCAATTAAATCATAATTTCCTTTGTTTCGAGTGATGTAATTGAATAGAAATATTACAAAAGAGATAAATTTCAGAACATATACATTACACACTAATGGTCCCAGATCATATAACTGAGCGGGATCCACTGGTTTCAATAGTGCTGCCCGAGGCACTGCGTTTTTTTTTTGGCACATGGGTTTTCTCTGCACATCTCAGGTTGATCCAGACATGTTGCAACCCAATGACACACTTTCTTGCTTACATTTATGAAAGCCTTGCATTATAAAAACAATCCACTTCATCTGAGATGTTTTTGTTATTCTCTTTTCCTGGCGTGAAGCTGAAGCGAAACATACAGAACTTCTGCCAATCCAAACAAAATATTTCAGGTCGACACAGATCTTGGCTTGCTGCTGTTTCCCGCTCGCGCCGTGCTCCAGCTGAGCATTTGACTAAACAATATGAGCATCTGGAGAAATAATTGGCCAGTCACTGGTATTGATCAACATCACAATCAGCCTCTCAAAGGCATATTAGGTAAAAAGAATTGCAAAAACACTGTAAATTTAGTTTGAATTTCTTTTATTGCAGCATATTTGAGATAATATAAAGCATATCATAAAATCAAATGTGATTTACCTCTGGCTGTGCACACCTCTGTGGCAAAGCATTGCAATCATAAACCATAATCCCTTTGCAAAAGCTCCATGCCAGTGATATCATGAGACTAATGATTAAAACAATCCCCCTCATCTGTTGGACCTTCAGTCAGCCAGATTTCCACCCCCTGCAGCACTTTTCATTCCAGCTACATTACATAAATCAGGGAACTGCAGAGGAGTGGAAAGGAAGAGTCCCATAAGTAATAAGCAAAGGGGGGGGTATCAGAGGAAATCATTTGGGGGTGATCTCATCAGAGTGCAGCCTATAGCACCTACTCTATTCATTTCACAAAACTTTGTTGCACAATCAAAACAACTTATTGTGTAAGTCAACATATGGAAGTAAAAACTTATTTTCCTAAATAGTTTTCCTTCATTCCAGGAAGAGTTTTTCCTCATTTGTCAAAAAACAGACATTCCACTGGAAATAATTTAACAGAACATCGATTCATCTCTCACCTGGATCCTATTTATAGAACACATATGGGTTTTATTATAGCAGCGGTTTTACTTACACACATAAAGTTGACTCAAATTATCTCCATTAAAAAAATGTTTTTTTTCTCAAATCATAACATATGCAGAGAGAACTCTGCATTGACCGGTTAAAGTCTGACGCAGCGATAAAATGTTTGTAAAGTAGAAACAACAGTAAAAGACATGAGGAGCGCTCATCTTACCTTGTCACAGCGTCTCTTCCTCGCGCTGGCTTCACGCGGACTGTAGTTTCCTACTGTCACTGCAGCGCGCTCCTCTCGCGTGCTGCATCTGTTTTGTTGCGCGCGCGCACGCACGACCCCCCCTACCCCCCTCCAAAAAAAAAAGAAAACATAATATCACCCCCCCCTTCCCTTCCCCCACCCTGACGTATTTCAGTAATAATAGTGCATCATAAAAGTGTAGC